TCCCAATCCATTCCTTCAGAAAATTCCTCTGCACCCTTCCCAGTCAATCTGGGATTGTTTTGGGGTTATCTGCTGGGTTTGGGGTCAATATTGTAAAAAAATCCTCACCCATGAGGGTTTTCCTTTTCCCCAGTCTGTCAGGAAGGTTCAGCTGGATCACGGGGTCCTCCCCTAAAACAAAAAAAAAAATCAAATTTTTGCATTAAAAAATCTCATTATTCCCAAAATAATGCCATTTTCTGGTTGGCAAACATAGGAATGAAAGGAGGATTTGGAGGGAAAAAAAATTCCCAAAAAATTCAAATTTTTGATTAAAAAATCTCCTTATCCATCCAAAAAATGCAATTTTTTGTTTGCCAAACACAAGAAGTAAAGAAGGATTTGGAGGGGAAAAAAATTCCTGAATTCATCCCAACCTACAAAAAATTCCCAATATTCCAAAAAAAAATTCCTGAATTCATCCCAACCTAAAAAATTCCCAATATTCCAAAAAAATCAAATTTTTGCATTAAAAAATCTTCTTATCCACCCAAAAAATGCCATTTTCTGGTTGCCAAACACAGGAATGAAAGAAGGATTTGGAGGGAAAAAAAAAACTCCAATATTCCAAAAAAAATCAAATTTTTGCATTAAAAATTCTCCTTATCTCCAAAAAAATGCCATTTTCTGGTTGCCAAACACAGGAATGAAAGGAGGATTTGGAGGAAAAAAAATTCCCAAAAAATTCAAATTTTTGCATTAAAAAATTTCCTTATTCCCCAAAAAAATGCCATTTTCTGGTTGAGAAACATAGGAATAAAAGAAGGATTTGGAGGAAAAAAAAATTCCCAAAAAATTCAAATTTTTGCATTAAAAAATTTCCTTATTCCCAAAAAAAGCCATTTTCTGGTTGCCAATGAATGAAAGAAGGATTTGGAGGGAAAAAAAATCCCAAAAAATTCAAATTTTTGCATTAAAAAATTTCCTTATCCACCCAAAAAATGCCATTTTCTGGCTGAGAAACACAGGAATGAAAGGGAAAAAAAATTCCCAATATTCCAAAAAAATCAAAT